CCGGCACTGCAGGCAGTGGCTTTACCTGCTAAGCCACAGTGCCGGCCCCAAAATGTCCATACTTAAAGCAATTTACAGATTCAATGTGATACCAATCAAACTTCTAAGACATTCTTCTCAGATCTAGAAAAAATGATGCTGAAATTCATATGGAGACAGAGGAGACCTCTAATAGCTAAAGCAATCTTATGCCTCTGACTTTGTTTTTGTTGTATAACAATTCCAAATTTCAAGACATACAAGGCAGCTATAATCAAAACAGCTTGGTACTGGTACAGAAACAGATGGATAGACCAATGGAACAGAATAGAAACACCAGAAATCAATACACACATCTACAACCAACTTATATTTGATCAAGGAGCCAAAACCAATCCCTGAGCAAGGACAATCTCTTCAAGTGTTGCTGTGAAAACTGGATTTCCACATGCAGAAACATGAAGCAAGACCCCTACCTTACACCTTACACAAAAATCCACTCAACATGGATTAAAGATCTAAATCGATGACCCAACACCATCAAATTATTAGAGAACATTGGGGAAATCCAGCAAGATATTGGCACAGGCAAAGAGTTCTTGTAAAAGACCCCAGAGGCACAGGTAGTCAAAGCAAAAATTAACAAATGGGATTACATCAGATTGAGAAGTTTCTGTATGGCAAAAGAAACAGGAAAGTGAAGAGACAACTGACAGAAGGATAAAATTATTTGCAAACTATGCAACTATAAAGGATTAATAACCAGAATCTACAAAGAGATCAAGAAACTCCACAACAAAACAAACAACCCACTTAAGAGAGAGGCCAAGGACTTAAACATTTTTCAAAAAGAGGAAATCCAAATGGCCAATAGACACATCAAAAAAATGTTCAGGACACTAGCCATCAGGAAAATACAAGGGCCGGTGCCGTGGCTCACTTGGTTAATCCTCCGCCTGCGGTGCCAGCATCCCATATGGGCGCCGGGTTCTAGTCCCGGCTGCTCCTCTTCCAGTCCAGGTCTCTGCTGTGGCCCAGGAGAGCAGTGGAGGATGGCCCAAGTGCTTGGGCCCCCTGTACCAGCATGGGAGACCAGGAAGAAGCACCTGGCTCCTGGCTTAGGATCAGCATAGCTCCGGCTGTGGCAGCCATTTGGGGAATGAACCAATGGAAGGAAGACCTTTCTCTCTGTCTCTCCCTCTCACTGTCAAATATATATATATATATATATATATATATATATATACACACACACACACACACACACATATAATAAAAAGGAAAATGCAAATCAAAACCACAATGAGATTTCACCTCACCCTAGTTAGAATGGCTTTTATACAGAAATCAACAAACAACAAATGCTGTTGAGGATGTGGGGAAAAAGGTACCTTAATCCACTGTTGGTGGGAATACAAACTGGTAAAGCCATTATTATAAGACAGTTTGGAGATACCTCAGAAATCAGAATATAGTCCTACCATATGACCCCAGCCATCCCACTCCTTGGAATTTACCCAAGGGAAATTAAATTGGCAAATAAGAGTTATCTCTACCTCAGTGCTTATTTCAACTCAATTCACAATAGCTAAGATATAGAATCAACCTAATTGACTGTCAATGGAAGACTAGATAAAGAAATTATGGGATATGTACTCCATGGATACTATACAATAGTAAAAAATGAAATCCAGTCATTTGCAACAAAATGGAAGAATCTGGAAAACTTCATGCTGAGTGAAATGAGCCAGTCCCAAAGGGACAAATACCATATATTCTCCCTGACCTGTGACAACTAACAGAGCACCTAAAAGGAAATCTGTAGAAGTGAAATTGACACTATGAGAAGCAATGACTTGATCAGCCCTTGTCTTGACTGTCAAGGAACAGTTTATTATTTTTATTATTATTTTCTACTTAATACCATTGGTTGAACTCTTTACTTAACATAGAATTAATCATAGGTGTATAAAGTCAATTGAAAATAGATCTCAGTAAAAAAAAAATAAGAGTAGGAATAAGAGGGAGGAGTTGAATAGTTCAGAACACATTCCCACGGACTTACTACTTACTCCTAAGGGTAAAGCTAAAAACTTGCCATGGGACTCCAAATCCCATTAAGCTGGGTGGTACTAATGCCATCTTACGTGCTAAAGTGATCATATTAAGTGTGTCAAAGGGATCACATAATTAAGACCAAGTGTCTGGTAATAACAATAGATAGAATTATAAAGGAGAGAATGTTCCAACATGGGAAGTGGGCCACACAGCAGACTCATAGAATGACAAATGCCCTAAACAGCAGTCTGACCTCAGAATCAGCCCTTAAGGTATTTGAATCTGGTTGAAAAGCCTGTGAGAGCATTTCAGGCATGGAAAACCAAGACACTGTGGCAAAAAATGTTTTATGTGAAGGATCTCTGTGAGTGAGATCCTGGTGGAAAGAAGGGACCATTAAAGGAGGAGGTACTTTTCTCTGAAGGAGAGAATTTCCACATTGATTTGGCCCTGTCTAAATAAGGTTGGAGTTTGTGAACTCAAGAGGCTTCCATAGCTTTGGAAGCTCATGACAAGAGCCTCAGGTGATTACTGACATCATAAATAAGAGTGTCAATTGTTAAATCAACAGGAGTCACTGTGTACTTGCTCCCCATGTAGGATCTCTGTTCCTAATGAATTGTACTATGAGAATTAACTGTAAAACTTGTTTTCAAACAGTACTTTATACTTTGTGTGTGTATGTGGGTGCAAATTGTTGAAATCTTTACTTAGTGTGGAATTGGTCTTCTGTATATAAAGTAAATTAAAAGCAAATCTTAATGAAGAATGGGATGGGAGAGCAAGTAGGAGGTGGGACGGAAGTAGGGGTGGTGGTGGGGTATGGGGGGAAGAACCACTATATTCCTAAAGCTGTACCTATGAAAATTGTATTCATTAAATAAAAGCTTTCTTAAAAAATGATGGTGCTAGTGGGGATGAATTGGAGGGCCAAGACCCCGAGGAGAGTAGGCAGAGTGTGGGGACCTGTGTCAGGCAGAGTGGTCTCGAGCTAAGGGGTGGTCATGGCAATGGCTGCTTTGAGAGGTGCAGGTAGAATTTGCAGGACTTCACTGCGTAATGAGAAGTTGGGAGGTAATGGAGAATCAGGGCCCAAGGACGCATCTGCTGGTCCCCACTTGAGCTGGGAAGGTGATGCATCCTCACCTGGAGCTAGGAGGACCACCTCAGGGAAGGATGAAAGTTACGGTGACATTGGCTGTGTCATATCAGTGAGAAGACATCCAGTGCATGGCTGTGAATGTGGCCCATGGTTGGGTGAGAGCTGTGTGAGTTTTGGGAGTATTAGCTGATTGTCCTCGTGTCTTCATGCTGGTGACAGCTGGGGAATAGATGCAGACAGAGGCCAGCTACAGTCTAGGAAGTGCCATCACTTAGGGAAATGGTCAGCAGAGAGACTGCAAAGACCAGACCAGGGGACTGGCAGCCTGCACAAGAACATGCTTTGGCACTGTTTGTCCCTGTTTGAGTTTTTGCTCACTGTGTTGAAAAGACCCTAAGCCCAGCACCCCCAGTTTGTATCACTGCATTTTCCTAAAAATTTTATTTATTTGAGAGGTGGAGAGAGTAACACACACACACACAATACACACACAGACAGCTCCTGTGATTCACTCCTCAAATGCCTGTAGGTGGCTGAGGGGTGGGGAGAGGCGGTGTTGAAGCTGGGAGCCGGAAATTCCTAGGTTTCCCATGTGAGTGGCAAGGACCCAGCTGCTTAAGCCATTTTACTGCTGCCTTCCAGGGCTGGCATTAGCCATTTGGTGTCAAACTCGGGCATTCTGATATGGGGTGCAAGCATCTTAATCACTGGCTAAATGTCTGCTCCCATCCTGATTTTTTTTTAAAAAAGTATTTTATCTGAAAGGCAGAGTGACAGGGAGGGAGGGAGAGAGAACTTCATCCACTGGTTTATGCCCCAGATGGCCACAGTGGCTGGGACTGTACTATCCAAAGCCAGGAGCTTAGAGCTCCATCTTGGTCTCCCTCATGGGTGACAGAGTCCCAGGCACTTGGGCCGTCTTCTGCTATTTACCCAGGTGCATTAGCAGGAAGCTGTTTTGGAAGTGGAGCAGCCAGAACTCAAACTAGCACTCTGTATGGGATGTTAGCATTGCAAGCAGAGGCTTAACCCTCTGCCACGATGCTGGCCACGCCATCCTAATTTTTTAAAAGATCAGAAATGAAAGATTTTTTAAGGAATCCATCAGGAGACTAGTGCTTGGTTGAGGCATTGGTTTATAATGGTTTTACTTGAACACAGGTGCCATGTCTCTTGTTTCTGTAGAAGTTGGGCTGGTGACAGGGTCAGGCTGTGCAGAAGGAACACCTGAAGCCGAGTTAAGCAAATGTGGAAGAAAAACCAATGAGAAGCATCATCTGGGGACCTGTTTGCTGCAGTCACATGGCCCTGTAGTGAGTCGGATCAGGCTGTCAAGCAGTGTCGTCTTCCTTATGTGTTGGCTGTGATTTTGTTAGTGAAACCACACAATTCTGTGCTAGAGTTCCTGAATACATTGATTTCTCAATGTATTTCTCTTTTTATTTTTTAAAGATTTATTTCATTTAGTTGAAAGAATTAGAGAGAGAGGGACAGACATATAGAAAGATCTTCCATCCATTGGTTCACTCCCCAAATGGCTGAAGTGGCCAGGGCTGGGCCAGGCCAAAGCCTAGGAGCTTCCTCTGGGTTCCCCACATGGGTACAGGAGCCCAAGGAGTTGGGCCTTCTTCCCCTCCTTTCTCAGGTGCATTATCAGGGAGCTGGATCAGAAGCGAAACAGCCGGGACTTGAACCGCTGTCCATATGGGATGCTGGTGTCCCAGGCAGTAGCCTAGCCCCTTACGCCACAATGCCGGCCCCTCTCATCCACCCCGCCCTGCCATTTGAGACAGGTGAGTAGTGGCCAAGTCCAGAGCCCTCTCCTGATTCTCTCTCTCTCTCTCTCTCTCTCTCCCCCAAGGTCAACCCACCATACTACATCCCGCTGGTCGAGCTGGTCCCACACCCAGAGACGTCCCCTGCCACAGTGGACAGAACACACGCCCTGATGAGGAAGATCGGACAGTCCCCCGTGCGGGTGCTGAAGGAGATTGATGGCTTCGTGCTCAACCGCCTGCAGTACGCCATCATCAGCGAGGCCTGGCGGCTGGTGGAGGTACCTGTGCTGCATCCCTCTCCGCCTCTCCCTCCCTCGCAGTGGGTAGCATCCGGGGCACCCCCGGAGTGGGGAAGGTCTGAGGGGGCGTCTCACTTGGTTTTGAAGACCCAGGCCAAGCTTTGGAAAGGAATGGGGTGGAGCAGTTCATTGTCTGTGCGACTCCTCTCTTATAAGCAGTCCTGTGTTCTGAGGGCGTGATGGCAGGCTTCCCTCCCACCTGCCACAGCGTCAGCACACAGTGTGACTGCGTTTTCTCAAACGCTCAGGCTTTGGATCCACTGTTATTTTCAAGCGGAAGAAAAATTATATTTTGCGTAAACTTATGTTCCCTGAAGTGATCCTGTGTAATTTAAGAGCTTGCGGAAGAGACAAAGAGTAAACATTAAATTTGTTGGTATTAGGCTAGTCTTACAGATAAGTAGGAAATGTGTGTGTGTGTGTGTGTGTGTGTGTGTGTCCATGGGTTCCCTATCCACAGATTCAGCTAACTACACATTGAAAATACCCTAAAAGGAAAACTTGCAGGTGTACTGAGCATGCACAGACTTTTTCCTCGTAGTCATTTCCTTGACAAGACACTGACACGCATTTGCATAGTATCTGCATAGTAATGGGTCATTTGTAAGTCAGCTGCAGGTGATTTATAGTACATGGAAGGATTGCCTAAGTTCTATGCAAATCCTGTGCCGTGTTGTAGAGGAACTTCAGTGTTTCTGGATTTTGGTATCCATGGGGGCTCTGGAACCAGTCCCCCAAGCATATGAAAGGACCACTGTGTGTGTGTATGTGTGTGTGTGTGTGTGTATTTAGCCTCATCCTTCAGTGAAAGGATGCTACACACAGTAGTTAAGAAATGACCTCGCTGCATGTGGCCCTGTGTACGTTTGTGAGGGCTGGTGGCCAGCAGGAGAGAGGTCAGAGCAGCTCCAGGAGGTGGTGTGGAAAGTCTCGGGGTCTGGGAGTCAGACCGTGGGGCACTGGTTCTGGCTTCTGTAGAATCTTGGGGCAGTTGGGGGGTGGTGCTTGGCTGCACCTGGCAGGGTCCTGCAGCTCCTTCTGTGGCTTGCGTGGCTACAGGAACCAGGAAGCTGGCTGTACCTCGCCTTCCTTGGGTGTGGTATTTCAGCTTCCCAGCCAGTTCCTCCAGACCCGGGTAAGTGTGCATGATGTACGTGACTCTCCTGCCCTCAGCTTCTGGCGTTCGGTCAGATCCTTGTTGAGTTCATCCTCTGACCCAGCTGCCCTTGCACTGGCCACACCATCGTCTCTGTGTTGCCAATCACTGTTTAAATCCACTTAATGCTCCCATACCTGCAAGTTGTGGTGCTGGGACTTGCAGTGACTGTTGGCAACTTTCGATTCTTAGTAGCTGTAGAATGCTTTCAAGTGTCAGTCAGTACTGGGATATTTTAAACAAATACTGAACTACCAGTACCTCCTTGGAGACCTATTTAAGTAGTTTTACTTGTCTAGAGTAGGAGAATAGTTTTAAAGACTAGAAGGAAAATTTAGGGGCCATTGCTGTGGTGCAGTGAGTTAAAATAAAGCCCTGGCTTGCAGTGCTGGCATCTCACATGGGCTTCAGTTCTAGCCCTGGCTGCTCCGCTTCTGATCCAGCTCCCTGCTATGGCCTGGGAAAACAGTAGAAGATGACCCAAGTACTTGGGCCCTTGCACCCATGTGGGAGACCAGGAAGAAACTCCTGGTTTCAGATTGGCTCAGCTCTGGCCATTGTAGTCATTTGGAGAGTGAACCAGCAGATGGAAGACCTCTTTCTCTGTATCTACCTCTGTCTTGCTCCTTCAAATAAAGTAAATCTTTAAAAAAATAGAAAAATTCAGTATTTCAGTAAAAACATTGTAGGCTTTTAAAAAAAGATTTGTTTATTGATTTGCAAGAGTAACAGAGAGAGGAGAGGCAGAGAGAATGAGAGAAAATTAAAGAGTGATCTTTCATTCACTGGTTGACTCCCTAAATGGCCACAATGACTTGGGCTGGACTGGGCCGAAGCCAAGAACATAAATTCCACCTGAGTCTCCCATCTGTGTGGTAGGGGTCCAAGCACTTGCGTCGTCTTCCACTGCTTTCTCACACGCAGTAGAGGGAACTGGAATGGAAACAGAGCAGCTGGGACTCCAACTGGTGCTCTGATATGGAATGCTGGTGTCACCAGCAGGTTGACCCACCACACCACCACGCAGGCTCTCCACTGTAGGTTTCTAAACCAATTTTTATGTTTGGTTTGTAAGATACTTTAACTCTGAGTTAAATCTTGCTTTCTCCATTCTGAATAATAGCCAACCCCAGGAAGAATTTGGAGATGCTTGTGTAAGGGGCACTGGGCAGAGTATGCACATAGAATTCTGTCTCTCTAAGGTATTGGAATCCTCTACAGTTTGGAGGATCCAAGCAGGATTCCAGGGTCTCCCTGGAGCAACAAAGGCTGGCGGGGTCATTGAGTCTGATAGCCCTGGAAATTCTCAACAGCTTGTGTTGTCCAACCTTCTTTTAAACATGTTGTTTACTCGGGTTTGTGGCAGCTGGGTGCAGCCACGTTATTGGCTGGAGGGGGCTGTTGTCAGTAATGGTTTTCAGGGATGGCTGCCTCCTGAGAAACTGACTCTTGCTGTGTTTCTGTGTTGGCTGCTCTGGGGATTGATGGGACCAGGAATGCCCATAAGGAGCCAAGTGCTGAAATCCGGAGATATACAGTTGGTGACAAAAGGAGAAGAGGCCAACAGAAATGGGAAGATTAAGAAAGTGTGACTAATACCCAGGGAGTTGCCTTTGGTGAAAGTCTAGGTCATTTGTTGGGGAAAAAGAAAATAAAGATGCTGTGCAGATGTTGAGGGGTAAGCACTCTTTTCTTTCTGCTCTGTCTTAGGATTATTATTGAAAGTCAGAGTTACACAGAGGAGAGGCAGAAAGAGAGACGTCTTCCATTTGCTGGTTCACTCCCCAACTGACCACAATGGCCAGAGTTGTGCTGATCCAAAGCCAGGGCCCAGGAGCATCTTCCAGGTCTCCCACATGGGTGCAGGGGCCCAAGGACTTGGGCCATCTTCCACTGCTTTCCCAGGCCATAGCAGAGAGCTGGATCGGAAGTAGAGAAGCCGGTTCTTGAACTGGTGCCCATATGGGATGCTAGCACTGCAGGTGGCACCTTTACCAGCTACACCACAGCGCTGGCCCCAAGGGTTAGGCACATTTAGAAACCACAGAGGCATCTTCTGAGGCTGGGCTGAGAAGTGAGGCAGCAGTAACACCACAGACAGCCTGGAGCTCCCATGGAGTCAAGCTCTCAGGCCACAGAAGGAGGACAAGGTCTCTGTCCTTGTACCCACTCTTACCACCACAGCTCAGCAGCCATGGCCCCACTAGCTGCCCAGGAACTCCAGCAGATGTGCAAGGCCTGGGGCCTCTCAGTGTCCCCATGGAGGCCCAGCTTCCTGGAGCCCCTGGGGCTGGGTGGCAGAGCCATGCCTGGTCCCATGGTTGCTCGAGAGATATATTTCCTATGCAGACTGCACCAACCACAGAATGCCTGCTCTTGGCAGGCTGTGGCATGCCTGGCACCGTACCCAGCAGGTAGGTTGGTTTAAGGATACTTGACTTCGTTGTGTGCACTTCTCAGAAGAGAACCTTGTGCCTTTTGTAACCCATTTCCTCCTCGGAGACTAGCAGTCAGCAAAGGTGCATAGCGTGCTCAGAACCCTGCCCTCGCCCACTGCAGATCTGCAGACGTGCCCAGACCACAGGCCCGTGAGGGTTAATGATGCACCTCTGACTCACAGCTTCATAGCCGGCAGAACTTGAGTATACATCTCAGGGTGTTTCAACACCTGAACTTATGGGGTGTTCCAAGTTTCACCCCAAAACTTTAAACTTTCGTATCAAGAGGAGATGAATTGGGGAAATTTGACACTAAAGACTTGCACATATTTTAAGTCCAGAAGATTTTAGAAAGGCCTTGTGGGGGTTCTTTTCGCAAGTGAGGCCTGGGCTGGGCTCCATTTGTGGCCAGAAGTACCTGACACTCTAGTCTGGACTGTGGAGAACAGAATGGATGTTGAGATGGGGCAGTTGCTCCCCCAGTGACTCGCTGTGAGGACTTCTGTTGGGTTAGTCTCTGGAATCACAAAGCAAGGTGGAATTGGACGGAGACTTTCTGCTCTACCTGAGCTTGGCGCAGTCATGGATAAGGGCTGGGGTGCTTTCAGGGCAGGAGAGGTGCCAGGTGACCTGCAGCAAGGTGCTGACCCCTAACCTGTTAGCCCATGTGCCTCTGTCCAGAGTGCTGGGTCAGCTGCAGGGAGGAATGTGTGTGCTTCCCTGTTGTGAACAGCTTGGCACAAATCAAACCCACATGTGGGTTCCCAGAGGTCTGACCCCAGTTTGGGAAGTGAGCTACTGTAGCATGGGCAGCCGGCCTGCCCAAGCAGTTTCCTCCCAAGCTTGGGAGTGTGATGATGCCATTTGGATGGAGCAGTGGAGTCTTCAGTGCGACTTGCTTGCTGTTGATTGGGGGATTACAGTGATTGGTTGTCACTCGTCAAACCATCCTTGCCTACCTGGAGAATGCCCACTTGGTCATGGTGTGTCACTGCATATATTTTAAAAAATTATTTATTCAAGAGTCAGAGCTTCCATCGGACGGTTCACCCTAGAATGCCCATAACAACTCAGACTGGGCATGTCTAAAGCCAGGAGCCAGGAACTCCATCCGGGTCTCAGCAGGGACCAAATTACTTAAGCCATCACTGCTGCCTCCCAGGGTCTGCATTAACAGGAAGCTGCAGTCAGGAGCTGAAGGTGGAAACTGAGCTCAGGCAATCCAGTCTGGGACATGGGCATCCTAATCGCTAGACCAAATGCCTACATCCTGTTTCTCTTAATTAAATTTTTGTTTTTAATTGGTAGATAATTGTATATATTGGGCACAGTGTGATTATACACACACACACACATATACACACATATTGTGGAATGATCATATC